GGTCACAAAGGCCCCATTGGTTCTGCTGTGAAACTGCAGCAAGAAAACGAGCTGATTTCACTTAAACAAACATCAATAACTTCCCTCGTACTTTAGATAATCACATGATTTTGGTGTTGTTTTGTATGGTTTGAAATGTTCTTTTGGAATCTGCTGTCAGATTTAATATTGGTGTAGGATTAAAAATTTATTCACATCCCTATATTAAGGCGAATTTTAAATTTTTCGTACAAAAAGAAAAGATCAGTACACATGACATATCTTTATTTTTATAGAACAGATTATGTTTCTGATAAGGTAACTTAATAAAATTAAAATCAAAATATGCTTAAATTCTTCCTAGCGTGATCTACTTGCGCTGCTGTCTTGGTGTGAGCCGGATTGGCAGTTCCCGTAAAGTCCACACGGTAGCTCTGTATGACAAAGCTCAGACCATGGTGCTTGTGATGGAGGACCAGCAGCAACAAGAGGATTGGTATGAAGCCATAAAGAAAYTGATGGAGGAAGAGCAGAAAGAAGAAGAGCAGAAAGGAGTTGAAGAGGACGATGGATACTGTACTCTCCCACCTGCAGCTTTCTTCAAAGAGGTAGGACCAGATTTTTATATTTCAACACTTGCAGCCATGATCAGTTAGTATAAATCAAGCTGCACATAAATGGTGCACATGGGTGATCAAAAAAGAAAACGCGCACCAGATGGAATGTCATAAAGCTCATTTATGTACCTAAGATTGTACCTGAGATTGTGAAAACAACAGCTAGAAAGCCTCTATGCAACTTGATTATTAAAACAAAAACAATCTTCCCACACATGACTGGATTGTTCAATGCTAGTAAGGCAGCAGGACCTTGATATAATCAATTCAATTCAATTCTGTTTATTTATATAGCGCAAAGTCACAACATACCTTGTCTCAGGGCACTGTACATAAAAAAGAACAATCTAAAGAAGAARCCAGTAGACMGCGTAGAATCACTTCATCACAGTCTCCCATCCTGAGCAAACGGTGGAGAGGAAAAACTCCCTGCTAATCAGGAAGAAACCTCCAGCAGAACCAGGCTCAGGACAGG